TATATTCATGTCTGTTATTCAATATTTTATTAAATGATGCCTATGTTGATGGATTATGATACAGTATCAAATTAAAGCATGGTTATGCACAGTATTAGACATTTAAAATTGTAATGCATTGTCATTTCATCTGAATAATTTCATGTCAGGTGTTTATATTGATCATTAGATCATTATTTATATTATGAATGTATAGTTGCAGATCTCTAGGTTTGCACGTGACAGTAACATCTTTTTAACCTATTTTGCTGGGATGGCATGACATATATGCCATCTGTACTGAGATTTTATTTTGATAATTATATTCAAACATAGATGGCTCCTCAAGTACTCAATCACCAAGGATTCAATGGGTAGTCCAACTTATGTCACCCACTGATTTTCTTGAGTTTTTGAAAGATTCTTTTCTTAATTTCATTGGTATTAGTATTTTGATAATGTTATAATAATCCTGTCAGTAATAATCTGAAAATTCAAGGAGTGGGGATTTCAGCTGACCCCTTGGTGGCTGAGCACAACTGAAGCTTTCTGCATGTAACAAAATTCACAAAAAAACTACAGTGAAGAGTACGTGTACCTGTGCAGAAAGGGTTAAAAATCATAATTAGAAAAAAATTTGAAGTGGCTCAAAAATCAAATCTTAATAAGAATAATATAAGAAGTGTAAGTTAGAGACATAATTCAAGTTCATTTCCCCCATTCCAGCTGGCCGTGTTTACACCAGTGGCTTGAAACCAGGCCAAACAACCAGACATGTCCAGTTTGCAAGGCGGCGATCTCACGTGAGAAGGTAATCCCTTTGTATGGCAGAGGCTCAGGAAACCAACAGGACCCCAGGTAAGAATACCACCTACACTCTCTCTCTCTGTCTCTCTCTCTCTCTCTCTCTCTCTCTCTCTCTCTCTCTCTCTCTCTCTCTCTCTCTCTCTCTCTCTCTCTCTCTCTCTCTCTCTCTCTCTCTCTCTCTCTCTCTCTCTCTTTTTCTCCCTCCCTCCCTCTCTTTCTCTTTCTCTTTCTCTCTCTTTCTCTCTCTTTCTCTCTCTTTCTCTCTCTTTCTCTCTCTTTCTCTCTCTTTCTCTCTCTCTCTCTCTCTCTCTCTCTCTCTCTCTCTCTCTCTCTCTCTCTCTCTCTCTCTCTCTCTCTCTCTCTCTCTCTCTCTCTACCTCCTTCACTCTCATTCTCACTCTCCCTCTCACTCTCTCTTTTACTCTCTCTCTCCTCTCCCCCTGCACATCCCCCATCTCTATCCCTCCCTCCCTTGTCTTATACTTCTGCTTATATTGTCTTTCCCATTTACTCTTACTTTTTTTTCTTTCTTTCTTTCTCATTCTGACCTTCATATCTTACAGAGACAAGCTCCCGCCTCGCCCTCCTGGTCAGAGAACAGAACCAGAGCCACAGAATGGGTACATGCCTGGCTTTGGTTTTGGCGAAGGAGGGGGATTCCAGTTCCATTTTGGGATAGGCGCTTTTCCCTTCGGCATTTTCACGACATTCAACAACTGGGGCGGAGGTGCAGTTCCACCAGGTGAGTGGGGTGGGATAATCAGATCCACTTTGAATTGTGTTTGTAAGCATCATACAGATGTTTCATTTTAAGTTTAAGGGAAGTGAAGAGTAAGTTCATGTAGGTGTATGTGTACGTAATTCTTTTGTTTTGCCTATATATTGCTTTTTCCCACTTTAGCTAACACTCGTGTATATTGCACTCTTTTTCTTTCTTTCTTTTATCTCTGATATAGCTAAGAAATCTTTTGATTTGACTAGTTATGGTTAAGGGATCGTCCCAAATGAGGAAGGGTTTAAGCCTATGTTATACATACAAGAACTAAAGGACTGTTTGAGCTAAAACCGGTTTATTTCCTGGGAGGTGCAAGGGCATAAACACCGACAGGTAAACTTTGGATGCAGGTAATTAGAGCCAGGTACTCCTGTATGGACTTCTGTTTGTTGCAATCTTGCATTTGTGAATGTCGAAAGAATACTTTTATACCAATATCAGAAAAAATGATAATCAAAATGATTGTGAGTTTTGTGTATTTATACATAAAATATGCTTTCCATTAGGACTACCTGGTAATATGCTGTAATTTATGTAGGGGTCTATATGTGTACCGAGTACAAAGCACGAATGTCAAAAAATGATAGTATAACTAATGATGATAATATTTCAGTTTGGAAAACCTCACTTATTTGCAATGATAATGTCAAATGACTGAACACCAACATTGCAACGGTTTTCCATGCCCAATGGGCATATTTTAACAAATATCAATAAAGAAAAGGATTTTATCTGGAGCAACTAATGCTTTTTCGTTATGTAATAAATGGATTTACTCCTATCAAATCAGGATAATTAAATGGTTAATCTTATGAGCGTGTTTACATGCATATCAACCTTCTCAAGAATTAAAACCACCCGGTGACCAGCTAACTCCTCCCCTCCTGCTTTTGGAGCGTTGAAAAAATTCAGCGGCCTTGGAAATTCTCGCCATAAAATAATTTTACACATGTGCTTCCATAATTCTCAGATTTGTACCGATATGTTGTATTCAATCTAGAATCATAATCATACAACAATTTTATACTGCCATTGCCATCCACAGTTCTGCATTTCTTCACATTCAGATTTTCAAAAAAATCAATTAAAAGAAAATATATATATATTGTTCATGATTTCTGGTTTAGATTAGTTGTCTTTATGATTTAATGCATTTATTAAACGTTTCAGACAGGAATCTCTACTTTCATAGAAAAAGAAAATAATAATAACAGAAAATGATAAGCATCGTTACAGAGTATGGTCCCAATTGAAAACAATAACTCGCATTAACTTGGTAATAATCTCATCTCAGTTTTGCTTTATATATATCTACATATCTATATATCTATCTATCTATCTATCTAGATTTATATATATCTATATAGATAGATAGATAGATATAGATATACTGTATATATAAATATAGATATAGATATAGATATATATATGAGGCAAAATTAGTGTACTTTGAAATGAGATTATTGCCAAGTTAATCCGAGTTATTGTATACATATTATATAATATCATTAAATTTAGCAAAGAAATAATAAAAATAACTAACTTTGCAATGTGTCCATATCTTAAGGTCATGTTCTCAGTACTTTGTTTATGGCCAAAGAATTGACACTTTAGTTCACCATGGCAGACCGTTCAAAATAAAAAGTAAATGGCCTTCCCGTAGAGTTAATCAAAATGAGGAATATTTTTTAGGTAGTTCAGGGATAAATTAGATTAATGGGATGGTCCAGTGCTACACCAAAAAAAAAAAAGTCAAGTTTTTTTTTACTTTTTAGGGGATGCCTCATTTAAATTATATATGAGACAAATCGCAATTTTATATTATATAACATACAAAAGAAATCAACTATATATCTACAACCTTTTTTTATTATTATTATTATTATTATTATTATTATTATCATCATCATCATTACTATTGATGATCAAATGAGTGGAGCCAGGTAGGCATGGTAATTATGCATCTCCTTAAGAGAGACAGCAGATTATAAATAACTAAAGGACAAGATATATAGATATAGACAGATACAAAATCAGTGAATGTAATTGTGGCCCCTTAAATATGGAATTCAATAACAATGAATGTGAGAGAGAGAGAGGAGAGAGAGAGAGAGAGGCAGGCAGACAGACAGACAGATTGAAACTGATAGGGAGGGGGAGAGAGAGAGAGAGAGAGAGAGAGAGAGAGAGAGAGAGAGAGAGAGAGAGAGAGAGAGAGAGAGAGAGAGAGAGAGAGAGAGAGAGAGAGAGAGAGAGGGAGGGGGAGAGGGAGAGGGCAAAGGAGAGAGAGAGAGAGAGAGAGAGAGAGAGAGAGAGATTGGGATTCCAGTGCAACATTGACAAAATGGTCATATGAAAAATAGAGATATTGGAAAATAAAATGCAGCTGGTTCATTTTATTTGCAGGTTATTATTCTTGTGTACAAAAGTACAATTTTGTTTAGTATGTACTGTATTATGATAACCTGATTTAAATTCTGAGGTTGTTTTGAAAAACTTCTACTTACTTACAACATGAGTAGGCCACAGAAGCCATCAGTCATAATTACATGGATTTCTTACCATAAGTTTAAGCTACTACAAATTACAGTTATTTAGTTTTATCATTGAACGGAGTCCATCAGAAGTCATCTCTACAAAGTGTTCAGAGTAACAGTCTAGTAATTCAGTTCAAGCAATTACGTCATTGTAAACAAATCATAACCTAATGAAATTTTAAAGTAAATTGCAGTACAAACAGACCCAAGTCAATTCCAGCGACATTGAAATTCCCATCAAGAGGTTAGTTGGACCACTCTAACACCTCTCTGATAGTGTCTTGATGCACACTTTCTGATTTAGCAAGGAATATTATTCTTATTCTTATTCCTAAAATATATGGTTGTGTAAGTCAACATGCAATGTAATGAGTCAGTTTACGAAGAGGTTCATCTTCGTTCTAATTGTCACAAGAGAGCCATCAGAATCTTAGTGTGGCTTTCTGTTTTCTTCCTTCTCCATATTTGATATAGTAAATTTGATCATGATTTTGCAACCTTCAACTTATTAAAATAAGGATAAACAACAACTACTGTGGATTTTGAATTTCTCTTCCCATAAGTGAAGTTCTAGACCTACTATTCTACTTTTCTTTAGTTCTTTCTTTGCTTAACTAATACAGTAGAGATCCTCCTGTGTCCTTTATGATGATATAACTGCTCCCTCCCAAAGGAATATTACTGACTCATTGCATTGCTGTTGCAGAAATGGAGAGGGATTTGCCGCAGCTTCTACGATATATTTTGCTCATTATGGCCTTCTTCTTCTATTGGAATCTCTTCTTTGGCTGACCAGGAAGGTATTTTACAGAGCCCATTTATTTTGTCTGTCTTTGGACTTTCTCTCAGTATCCTCATGATAGAGATTATTCTGTCAAAGAAGCCATCTTTTTTGTGGTTTC